CTCACCACGTACAGGAATCCACGTCGAGGGGGACTTTACTGGAAAGCTCTGTCATCTAAGACCCTTACCTGTAGGTGAGTGTACCAGGTTACATGGTGAGCAGAGAAAGACTGAAGCTGTTTGTATGCTCTAATGCTACTGGCTCACACAAGCTGCCACCTGCTGTAGAAGAAAAACCAAAGAACTCATGGTGTTTCAAAAACACAAACCAAAATGTCCTGCTTGTCACTTACCTGAATTAAAGATGTATAGATGGATGCAGCTCTTTTCACATTCTGTTTTTCTTGAAATTTTTGTATCAGGTATAAAGATATACCAGATTCAGAAGAGAATGAAAGTGAAGGCTATTTTGCTTCTTGATTATGCTCAGCTCACCCATTTTCAGAACTACAGACTCCTGATGTTAATAGTTATTAATACCTGTACGAATATTCAAACAACTTGATTACGCAAACTAGTATTCGTCCCAATTAGTTACTATACTGTATTCACTAGCATAAAGTCAACACAAAATCATGGTTTTTCCTCATTCTTCACAATCACTACTGGAGATGACCAAGCATTCTTTAATGATTGTGTTACTTTGTACTTCAACATCTGCTCTATTTCAGTGCTGGCAATATTTCATGTACCCTCAGTTAACCTGCAAGGAGATTATTTTATCAGACACACATTATCTATTTATATGATGATGTGTCACTATTATCCTGATCCTGCAAACACATTGGTATATTCTACCTACGACTTACGGAGTCCCGTCCAACGTTTAACATCTGCACAATTTTTATTACTAGAGTAATACCACCAGCTATAATCCAATCACTGTGTCAAAAAACATTTTAGCTGGTAGCTTAATAACCAACTCATAGCTAGTATAAAAGCAGGTTGGATTGTGAACAGAAAGCAGTGTGCTTCAGTTGTCACTTTCATAATTTTCCAGTTTGTCAGACTGACTCCATATAACACTATAGGGAACCATTTATTAGGATAAATTCTCTAGGTAAACGTGTATTTTACTGTTTGTGGGATCTGACTGGCCAGCACTGAACATTTTTTACAGATTTGTCACTCTCTTGTTCCAGAGGAAATGCTAGCAGATAACTTCTGCCTTAGGTCCATCCCCAAAATACCAGTGCTTGAAACAAGATTGGAACCAAAATCTTCATTTCCAAACACAGCTCTAATAACAAAGTGGAGTTATGTTTTTCAACTTATCTTCACTAGCCAAAATTAAATGGTAATAAACACTGCAAATTTGATAAAGTCCCTAGTAGTCGCAATGTCTAAAAAGACTTAACCTTACATATTAGGACGTTTGTGGCTAAAGCATCCAGACCTTACATCTTACTATCTGAGGAAAGTTTTTGTAGACAGGCTCTGTCTTATATTTGTGGCAAAAATGTTTTGGAATTTATCCCGAGTCATTTATCAGCTCTGGATAATTCATTGCAGGTTCTTATAGTGCTGTGTAGCATAGTCCTGATGGAGATCTTAGTTTCCTAGTTTGGCACTGGTTGATGGGTGTTGTGTTAATCCTGTTTGTTTGTTTTTCTGTATTTAGTAGTTGGTTCAAAATTCTGTTATTGTCTAGTCCATGATATTGGTTAAGATATGGATTTCCATTTTTATCCTTACAGTTTCTTTAATTTCACTGAGTTCCATTGCTGTTCCTTGTCTAAGATTTTGTATTTCTGCCATTCAATCTTGTATCCTGTGTTGTTATATTGTATGAAGACAGCTAAGTTTCCAGATACATGACTCACGTTTTATCTACATATTCTTTAATTCAAAGAATCAAAGCTCCAGCCAAACACAAGACAGGTGATGTCCAAAAATCCTTCCTCAACTCTACCACACTGTCTGAAGCTTACCTCTTACAATTATTGCTTTACAGGTTGTTGCACGTTTTTTTACACACAATGTGAAAGTTAATTAATGAAATGCAATATCCTCAATGTCTTTTTGACAATAATTCCACAAGTATCTTTTTTATGTATCTTACAAATGGTATAACTTTTTGGCTTTTGCAATTTAATTATGATTAAAACTGATTACACTATGCTATTTTCATCACCAGTCTGTGGTGCCAATATTTCACACATTTGCAGTTGATGCTGAGATCTATGTATGTATAGAATAAACTTAACAGTACGGTTTGTACCAATCTATAATATATGTAGCAATTTACTTTTATCAATAAAGTCAATAGATATGTGTATACTGGGTGATTCAGAAGCCCACTGACAGGAAAATACTTGAGAAATAGAAAGGTATAGGAAAATAATTGTTAGTAGTAAGGAAGAAGTGTTGTGGACTTACACTGTGACAATATCATTGGGGTCATTAAAGGCCAATTTCAAAGTCATGTCCTTGAAAACAATTATTTGAAAAGTATACACAAATTCTGTTCTTGTTGATCTTTTCATATGCCTGCCACAATTTTATTGAAGAGAATTTAACTTCCAAGAGAAAAAGAAATTTAAAATAGTGGTAGGTAATAGTAGCTTAAATTGAGTTATATCACAAATATATTTGCTTGTACTATACAAAAACTAATTGTTTGAGACATTGTATCTTACTACTTTTGTGGCATAATTCCTGTTGTACCTAGAAAGGGAACTTATTGTAATGAGGATAACCTGTTATTGATATAAATGTAGACAGATGAAATGTTATTTTTAGTGCATGATGTACATACCTCAATCAAATTATCCAGACTCTCATCAATTACATAGGCCTGCAAATTTAAACTTCATAGAAGTTGTTTTGGTTTTAATAAAAAAAATTCCATAATACAGCTATGCAGATTTCAAAAATAATATTCATCTTTTTCTATCACATAAGGATTTTTTACAAATTGGGAGGAAAAAAAACTCTTACTTAGATCAAATTATTATTTTGTTTACCACAATGAAAATTTTTTATTATGTTTGGGTTCTAGGATGATTGATAAGACTCTCGCATCACAATTGGTCTAGAGAAATCTATAGCCAGTAGTTGTCAATATTTTAAGCATAACCAAATGTAACCCGATTTCAATGAAAACAATTCATTTATATAAAAGTATATATGACGTTTTGTGAAAAATCTGTACATGATGGAGAAAAATGGATATCATTTTCAGATTCAGCATATACGAATTACTGTAGAACATGTAAAAATTTCAAAACAATAAAACCATCGCAGGCCTGTGTTATTAGACCAATATGCTCTCTATGGTAGTGATGGCTAGCAGTATTAATACCATACTGCTAGTCTCCATGTTTAAATTCACTGAAATTATACACTATATGATTATTAAATTTGCATGTCATGGAGGTAGACAGCTTTGTTGCATGAGTAGTGTCTAATAATTTGGCCAGGAATTGTATACTGATCATTTCTCTAACATGTTTGGTCTTTCAGTGTATTATAACCATCAAAGTTTTGTGTTTGAAAAGTTTTTAAATAATTTTTTAAAACTAAAATGTGTATATTAGGTACTTAATAGATTGGAAGCTAATAAAATCCTTGAAGAAATTTTAAGGTTGTAGTAGCACTTCTATCAAGGTCTTCATCTAAATTTGAAAAGTGTATTAATTAAAGTTAACACTGTGTGTGAAAAAAGTTATAAGTATCATATTTTAATTTCTTTCTAGTTTGTATATAAGAAGATAGTTTAATTTTTTTTGCATGTATGAGTGAAGTTAAAAAAATTGTAAGGAAGACAATTATTGGTAGTATTTAAACTAAATAAAAGTGTGTATGGTATAAAGTTGTACATCTTTACAACTCTAAATTAAGGCTTATGGTTAACTGGATTCAAGCAATCAACTGTTATGTAGTACTATACTACCAGCTGTCAAAGTTAATGTTTAATGTTAGTACACTTTGAGAGAGGTTATTTTGTTCTCTTAGTTATACTCCCACAAGTTACATTTTTTGTGAAAGCAATTACTTCATAACATCATACAACTACTCTACATATTAAAATAAATAAATTTTCTTTAATCAATACAGTCAAGTTTTCAGCATCTTTTTAATAAATTGATTTAATGTAGTGCTAAATTATTTCTAATATACCAGATTAAATAGAACACTACAATTATACAGTGTAATTCTAGGTAACAGCATGGAGCCAAAATAGGGGTTTGTAGTTTGAATAAATAATGTCTATAGTATCTCCAGCCTTGTTTTCTTACTTTCTTTTTATGATCCATATTTGCAGGTTTTTAAATTCACAATGTTGTTACAAGTTGAAAGTTTAGCTTGGGGATACATACAGTATAAGGTGAAATTCCACAGAAAATTAGGAAGTTATACTGTATAGGGGTAGAAGAAAATCTAAAATGGGCAACTTGAAGCAAAGAAGTGTCACATGAAACAGATGAGTTTAAATTAAGAATTTATTTAAATATCTCATTTTGAAATTATAGAATTAAAACTTCTACAGTATTAAAATTCGAATGAAACTTTGTTTTTCGATGCCATGTTCATTGATATAGAGTCATACTGAAGTTGTTTAATTAAGTTTTGAATGTTGGTTTTATTTGTGAAAGATGTGCATTTGTTAACTATTTCCAACCCATTACAGAGTTCTAATATCTTTGTAGCGGTAATATACAAACCAAGTTTTCCTGAAATAATTTGCAGTATCTTTTCTTTAGCTTTGAACATTGAAGTTTTAAGTCAAAAATAACTAGGTAATTAAGATAAATTAATATTATTGGTATTAAAAATTATAATTTTGGTAGAATATAATTACAAAATTATACAAGTTAGTAATTTAAAAATTGAACATCAAACTAAATCAAAGATACAGACAACTGCTAGAAAAAACTTCTTGACACAGCTACGAGTGAAAATTTTGTTTTTATTAAATTTAATGTCTGTAACACAACTGTGGAAGTCTACAATTTCTTAAAGAATTAATGTACAATCACCACCTAGAAACATTTGGCATAAACAGTTTATACAAGACTCAGTTACATAACAAATTAATCTATTTCCATTAAGTACAAATTATATGTGTTTTAGGTCTTGGGTCCAAATGACATTATCAAACAAATATTTGTCACATTTTGAAAACTGAACAACAATTTTTTAACTTTTGAAAAAAAGTCATAACTTCGTTGTTTACTGAAACATTACTATATAATTATTCTACTATTTAAAACTAAACAACTGATGTTGCAACATAAAAATTAGCACCTTTAACCCCATTGTTTAGCCTCATTTTCAGAAATTTAAAGGTGTACTTATCACTTCAATTTTGCTTTTTTTTATATAAATCAACTTACTAATCAAACTTTGTAAAGATTGTTGTTAGGATCTCAGAACCAAAGTTCGAGTTACTTTATGTCAAGATATTATCTTAAAGATATTATAGATGACTGTATTCATTGCAGATAATGAAGAATACCAAATACTGAAGAAATCCTGAGATTAATATTTTTCACCTGATCATCACAGAATGAGAAATGTTTTAATTTTATGTTATTTCTTTTAAAAGGTTTAATAACTAATAACAAGCAAAAAATATTATGGAGGGAAATACTGATTACAGTATTACTAATTGTTCCAAAATAAGTAAAGCTCATTGTGTCACAGAAAACTAAATATATATGTCAACAAATACCTGAAATCATCAGCAGAAGAACAACAGCTTAATATCATTATTATGTATTACCTAATGGATGAATAATATATTTTTCAAAGTACAGTTCAACAAATGATTTTTATGTTTACCTCCACAGAATATTATTTATAATAAAGTATTGATACACAACATAAACAAATGGTATAACAAACATTGAGGTTTGGAGCCTGATAAAACATCTTTCATAATATTTAGATAATTGTAAGATATAACTAATGTGTAACTGTCCAAGTATCTAATCTCAAAGATATTGCCAAAATATTACATTTTGCTGCTTACATTACTTTGCTCTATTATTTTGAAAAAGAATATCTATTTAACACGCAAGATATATCTGGAATGTGCTACCTTCATTCTAATTGACAAAATATGGAGTATTACATTTAACTGTGAAATACTGTTTCAAACAGTGGTGTACCCTATAACAACATTATGTCTCTTACACAACTGTGTGTGTTCTCAGCTATGATGACTAACTGTCCAACATTATTCTCAATTTTTATACTCTTTGCTAGAGATTATTGTTAATAATTGACTCATTCTCGATTTCTCTTGGACACAACAAAGTAATTAATTCAAGGAAATAAATATACACACAATTTTTATTTTTCCCCACCTATTATGAAACTGGCCTTCACTTTACTCCAATCATTCCTCTTTCCTTAATTATATCCATAGCAGACTATTAGTGTATACAATCTCAATTTAAAAAACGTTTTTCTTCTAAATTCCAAAACAGATGCATGCTAAGGCTACTTTACAGTTCTCCTCCTTTGATAAAATTTATATGCAAGTGTTAAAAAATGTGTGGGTATCGTTTTAATCTACTAATTAAATTCATCATAGATAAACTGCAAATTGTTATTCAAGCTGACAGAGTAGAATTGGCCAATAAATTCTTCACAAACGTTGTTTTATTTTCTGTTGATTTATCAATTTATTTACTAATAATTCCATAGAGGATATCTGATGTCAGATCCACCCTTCATTTTTGACAGATTCACTCAGTTTGGTTATGGGTAGCTACATTCACTCACAATTCAGCTATCTGTTATTGCTACAATGTCACAAAACTTTCAAATTTAATAAAATGTATATTCAAACTGGAAGATAGAGTAAATAAAGACAGTAAAGATACCACTATTAAAAAGGAAGTAAAGTATGTTTTATAGTAGTTCACTCAACAAGTTCTCAGTTGCATCACAACTTTGCAAGGAATGAAATGATATCTAATGATTGTTAAAACTATACAATATGTAGTGATTGATCAATGAGTGTCCAGTATAATAAATTCTTCTTCATTAATCTTTGTTTGTAATTACTTAAGAACTGAGTATAAGTAACAAATGTCTCATGTTATTCACAATTTAAAACAGAAAAATACCCATCATCATAAGTTCATTTATCATGCCACTGGCACCTTTAAGATACATCCCCACCTCTCTCCTCCAATGATTTTGTCAATTTTAACAACAGGAGAAAAAAAAACACTGAAAGTAGCCATAAATAGTCCATAACCAGTAAAAACAATCTCACTTTAATTTCTGTTTCACCAGATGACTTTTAAAGATTGTAATATTTATTCACTAAGGATATATATATAACTCATATTTTCAAAAAACATCAATGGTATATAGAAATATTCTTACATCTTTAGTTTTAAATACTATGAAAATTATCGCACACATTAAAACAAAATAAACTATAAACAGTAACTGTTGATTACTAATAAAAACATCTATAAGATACTAGTTTGTTGCAATTAAAATATTAACAAGTTGAAAGACTTCTAGCTAATCTAATACAGGAATAACAGCTAAAGCTGACACAAAGTTTGTGCTATTGTTATGCATTATCATTATTAAATAATGAAATGATCTATTCTATTCATTCAACACGACAATAAAATAATTGGTCAGCCTGAACAATATAAAACTAACATTGAAGTCCAGTAACAGATCCACTGACAACACCTTCCTGTCCACATCAAATACTACTTTGTTCAGGCAGAATGTATACGACTAGTATTAATTATCAAGTATAACTTATTTCTTCATTACATTTCTGCACTAGCAACATAATTTTCTGGAATTATGTTAGTTAGGCTTCAAAACGTTTGGTTTAGAATCATTTTTAGTAGGTAATGTGATGTGCCAGCCTAAGGTCATTCTGTCAAAGCCACAGGTGAAGAGATTAGAATGTAACTGAGGTTGCTCATCTGCCCAAGCCACTGAGCACACCATTCGCCTATGTCCCTAACAAGGAAAGAATAATTTAAAAATCTTAATTGCTTTAAACAAACAAGCACTTCATAATAAATATTATTATCAACTCAATTATTAAATATTATCAAGTGTATTAAGCAGTAATTTTACCAATTACTGTGTTATCAAATTGTAAGCTTTACAGCCAACCAGATATTAAACTAGACTGCCAGTGCTGTGTATTAATTTTTCACCAGTATCAAATATATATAGGCCTAAGTAAACTGTGAGTAAGTAGTAGCAGTCCAGTACATGGTCCATAATAAGGTTCAGATCAGGTCATATTAGAAAATGAAAGAGGTAATGAATATAAAATGATAATGCCATGTCCAGCAGTTTTGGCAGCACTAGACTTAATTTCCTGTGACCACCAAAATGCACCCATGGTCCCCCAAGTGATTCCTATGTAATCTAATCACCAAGACATTTTAAGTTGAACTTTAACATTTTATGTTTAAGAATTTATTATCAACTAGTTTGGTGTAAATTCTAAAAAGGTAAAATATCAATGAAAATAGATCAAAAGATATTTGTACTTAACACATCTTTACATCAGTGTTCTAATGAGCTTTGAATTAATCTTTTCAGTTTTGGACTGCTTTGTTTCACTAGTTTTTATAGCTATATTAAAATTCTTTGTGATAAATCATTACAATTTTAAATCAATTTTTTTTCTAACATGATTATTAGCTGAAGAGTGAAATTAAACAGCCAATCAAGTCTTAACATAAGCCACACTATATAAAAATTCTGTATGACTTTATATACTGGATACAAATTTAACTTAAGGATTTTTCCAGCCTGGGAAATAAAGTGCTTAACATGCTTTATGTTTGTTGATTGATTTGTTTGTTTTGAAATTTGTATGAAGCTAAACAAGGGTTACCTGCACTAGCCACCTCTAAATTTGAACTGGTAGGCCAGAGTGGAGACAGTTAGTCAACAGCAACCACCAACTCTAATCAACAGTGGAACTTAAATATTGCACTTATAATACATTCAAGGCTCCATAGTGTGAAACACAATTTTGCAGCAATGGGACATGAACGAGGGACCCTCAGATTCGCAGGGTATGCAAACCACTGGGTCATGCTTGGCAACCAACAGAAATATACTATAAAATTATCAACACTTAATCTATGACATCATCTTTTAGCCTATAATAAACATGTACAATACTTCAATACACTCCTTTGGCCTGAATAAAACAACCTTCTCCCAAAATAATATTTTAATTCTGTTCAATATATTATTTAATTAAAAAATGAGTACAAACTATAAAATAAGTGCACCAATTTATTAAAAAACTGACAAAATCACACTGCTAGAAAGAATTGCCATTTGATACAGATCTGGTATACTCATACTATTTTGCTAAAATTAAGTGTGTACACAGCGTGGTCACAAGTAAATAGACACCACCTTTTCCGACAAAAATGAAATTTTTCAGTCATATTCACATGAATTGATATATTTATAATTCAATTAATATCTAGTAGATCTTCCTTTCGCTTCATGGAGTTCGTTGATCCTTTGGGGCATCGTGTGAATCATCTCGTTTATTGAGAATGTGGGATTTTCGCCCACTCTTGCTTCAAAACTTGGAGTAGATCCCTCTTCGAAGTTGGTTTTTTTGGTTGTTTCTGGACTTGCCGGTTGAGTATGGCCAAGAGGTTTTTGATGGGGTTCATGTCAGGAGATCCATTTCGATGCTCCTCTTGACAGCCCTTTTTGTCCTCTCTGATGGACCAGGATGACCCGGACATTGCTTAGTTGTTTCCTTGCCGTGTTTCCTGAACTGCATGATGATTCTGTTGACTGTCGAAAGCGGGATTCCCAAATTATGTGAAATTTGCCGCTGACTTATTCCACCATCTGCTTGACCAACTATCCTTCCTCTAACAAAATCTGACAATTCGAGAGAACCTTGAATTCTAGGCATGTTGTA